GCTGCTGACCCAGGCAGACGCTGCAGAAGGAGTGGGAGTCCCGAGGACTGACCCGACTCGCTCGCTGTGGGATCCGTGTAGCTGTTTTTCAAAGCATCTGGCGTAAATTCTGTCAATTCAAGATGTTAGCCCAAGTAACCCTTTCTTAACCTCGCGTGTTAGAACCTGTGAACTTCTGGTTTATTCCTGGAGGAGGTGAATTGTTAAGTCCTCGTGGGCGTTCTCTTTAGCCGGGGAGGGTCAGCCATATGGTGTTGCATCTGCTCTCACTTCTGAAAGGGACCTAATTCTTTGTGCGTTTGGTTCTTGCTGATTCTTTGGGTTTAGCTCTTGCCATTTAATGCCATGGGAAAATAGAGCTTCCCGTGCTGAGCTGAGTTCATCTTTGATAAAGCATTCTGCAGTAGTAGTTAGCATTATTTTTAAAGTCTTACTATAATTAAAGATTAACTTTCTTAGTGTCCTGGTATCATTCTGAAAATCATAGTATAAATACTCCTACTGAACCATTAGGGTTAAGAACAGTCAAATTCTAAAAATAGATTGGCCTTTAAAGTAATTTAAAAAAATACATCAGTGATGCTTTTTCACTACTTTGTCTACTTTGAAATGTGCACTAACGTAGTTTCTTGGCATTAACTTCTTGCCTGTGATAAATGGTGTATTCTAATATCAAACAGTAGAACATACTACTTTGTTCCTGTAAGGCTGTGTGAGTGTATTATGCACAGCCATTTCTTAACAGGTGATCTCTATAGACATGTAATTCCTAGGATAACGTGATAGTTAAATATCCCTTCCTTATCCCATTAACCCAGGGCAAACTAAGTATGCTAGAGCCAGATGAATACAAAGCTACTCTGCTGTTCCTGGGCTCCAGCTAGTGATTTTTATTTTTTTTTTTTTACTTTTTCTCATCGGTGCTAAAATTTGCTTCAAGGAGTGCGTTGTTTGATGGCGGGTCTTCTGGAGGTCTTCCTGTAGATAACACACCAAACAGTCTCCAGCTCTGAGTTTAGATATAATGAAATTGCTGTGGACCACTTGTTTCTTAAAGGTGGTCTGAAAGGAGAAAGTTTTATTGGTGTAGTTTTAAAGGTGTTTCAAAGAGGTGTAGTTAAACCTGTTGAAGAAGGCTCTGTAGCTCCCCTTTATTTGGGACTATGACTGGTTTATTTGTTTTAGCTAGGCTAAATAGAGCTTATCAGCTTTAAAGGAAAATAAGCTGATTTATTATATAGAAATGAATGTCTGCATAACTCTTTGTGCTGGTTAAACTCCGTCACCTTTAATAACACCTAGTAGTATTAAATAATGTAGTAGTAGATACTAGTATTGCTTATATTCTTGGGTTCCTAATTTTTCTGGTTTTAAGGTTAATCCCTTGTTTCCAGATTAATCTTTCTCAGTGCACATCTTCATCTTTCTCAGAGGTTTCTCCCTGCCACTGTGCCAGCCTTCCTAGTTAGGATCTTGCTGATTTTACTGTTTACAGCCATCCTGCGACATCACCGCCTGAACTGTGCACTCCTTATTTACTCCTGGTAGGCTTGTGGGGCCGCTTCACTGGAATAACATTTTGCACTGTGTTCTTCTAAGTTGTTGAATCCAGTTGTCACATACACCCTTTAGAAGGCCTGACAGTGAGATGAGGGTGTGCCCCGTGTTTTTTGTTTCAGGTAACATGAACTAATATTTCATTCAGAAGCTTGAGGGTAAATGAAGAACCTTATTCTTCCGGCTGGATGGGTTTCCTTTCCTCGTTTTGATTTTGTCCTAAATCTCAGAGAATGTATCGGAGAAGTTGTCTTATGTCCTTGAACACAAAACCGAGAAATGAAGCAGCTGGAGAGTGCGTAGTTCTGTAAACAGGAGCTGATAAAATGCACCGGGGATGGTGCATTTGCTGCAGCAACTGAGATGATGAGCATCAAGTCCTGTGTACAACTGCGGGCTGTTGAGAATCTGCCAAAATATTTAGCTTACTCTGCAAGACTCGTGTAATGGCTTGTTGGTTCTTTTCAGTTGTAGGTATTTTGGTTACATACTGTCTAAAATTGCCAAGCTGTTTCTGCAGGAATCTGCCGTGTTTGTTTACCTGACAATGTTATTTACCATATATCTCCTGAATTAAAAGCCAGAGGAAGTTTAGTAAAATGAAATTTGCCTTTGCTTGCATCCTTCACCAGTACTGACTGTTCCTTCTGGTCCTCAGGCTTGACAGGGGACCAGCGAACTTACCATGGGAAGGAGAATGTGGACTCCAGGCACAATCGAGGGAGAGGAGGAGAGACAACCCGCTTTCACACTGTCAACGTGGCACAGCCTGTCCGATTTAGCAGTAAGTTGCAGACTGGGAAATCTGGGCCATCTTTCTGCTAAGTAATTTTGTGATTTAGGCTGTTTGGGTTTTTTTTGCAAAATTAATAGATTTTTCTTTTGCATAGCTTTTTGACCAGATTTTTATTTACATGCAGTGTTTGGGTTTTTTTAAGGTGATTTGTACGTTTCTTTTATATTTGTCCTGTTATACGATCTGTGGTTTATATAGCAGGCCAACACATGCAAAGATTCTACTTCCCTAATAATCCTGGTTTTGTGAAACTAGAGTTGCAGTTATCTGTTGTAACTCATTGCAGTTTTAGAAAACGAAGCCCATAGTTTAACTGATGGTTTCAGCCTGCAGCAGAGGTGCTAATCTAGCCCTTGTCTCATGGAGGATTGTTCCTCTGGAAGGTGTGCCCCAGAACCCCATCATCTTTCGTGATAGACTGTGGGAGCAGGGTTGTGTGAAAAGGCTGTTTGTAAAAGTAGGTTGAAAACTTCACAGCAAGTTGGATGCATTGCTAACCACCTAATAGATAGGCAGAATCATTAAATTGGCCACCTCTGGCTTTCCTTTCCTGCTTCTTGCTGCTTGTTTTGACTCAGATTGATCGAACAGATTGGATTTGTAAAGATGTGCAGGAAAATACCTTCCACAGCAGATCATCAGTCTTAATTAGGGACTTTAAAGGCTGTCACGGTGCAATGAAATGTTATTAGGAGTTGCATCTCTTTCAATACATTAAAAAAAATTTCCTTTATCAAAAGCTGTAGTGAAGTAGGTCTTCTGTGATCTGTGTAATGCACGTCTCCTCCCAGCGAGATGAAGTAACGCGGCTTGTGGTGTGTACACGACCAAGTGATTATGCATTGCATTGTCGTAGACTGATTAGGGTGGGTTATCTTGAAGATCCTAATTTTGGGGGAATGGTTTCCCTTCTGTCCTTCATGTTTCCTAGGAAAGTGCCCAACAGGATGGCACCACTACGAGGGCACAGCCAGCTGCTATAGAGTGTATTTAAATGGGGAGAACTACTGGGACGCCGTGCAGACATGTCAGCGGGTGAACGGATCCCTCGCCACCTTCACTGCCGACCAGGAGCTAAGGTTTATCCTGGCACAGGAGTGGGACTTGGAAGAAAAAACATTTGTAAGGAAGGACCAGCGTCGGTGAGTGGGAAGGAAAGGACAAAGATCTCGCGTTACCTGAGAATGGTTCTGTGTGGTGCGAATGCTGGTTGTTCAGTTTGCGTAGAAAATCTAATGGTAAAATTGACTTCAGGTTAACAGCCCGGTATGAGTGTGCTGGTTGCCTGTTTGGCAGCGGCTATCTGTGTTTTATGCTTTTATTAACATTAACAGATAGTCTACAACTCAGTAGTCTCTTTATCTTCAGGCTGTCTCAGCAGTGCACTGGTATTCTTGAACTACAGCAGGGCAGATGGATTTTACAGTGACTTGCTGCTGCACTACCTTGTATAGAAACAATTCTTTAGTTTTTTCAGCAGAATTTTTGTTTCCATTAAGTACCAAAGACTGCAAATTTGCAACAAGAATGAAATAAGCCATTTTGAGTTGCAAGAGCTACATTCTGGTGGCTTTGGATATTTCATGCTGTTAGTTCACAACAAACATATTTCTTTTTTTTTTGGCCTGTGGGGTTTTTGTCAGTGTGCTGGACTGCTGTGACAGACCACCAGGAGGGGGTTGGTAGTGATGTATCTGTCTCTGGAGAGTTACGTGGTTTGATCTGGAACAGTCTGACAGAAGTTGTGTATGTTTATGAAATATTTGACTTCTGGATTGTTTTTCTGGGTTTGAGATACTGAAGTGCTGCTGTAACAATAAAGTAAGATTTGTGTAAGTGGAAATACAAGGCATGTTATTTGTAAACACAGAAAGCTATCAAGTATTTTCCTTTATTCCTCAACTATAATCACTCTGTCTACATTGCCAAGGAATGGGCTGAAATGTTAAGGAACACAGCCCGTCAGAATGTTTTGAAAGTTAGCTTTTAAGTTCTGTGTAATTTATTTTAATTTATTAGTATCTTTTTGGCATGTATCTTTAGAATCTAACTTTTTTTTTTGGTTTTCTCTAGGTTTTGGGTTGGATATCAATATGTGATCACCAATCGAAATCACTCTCTAGAAGGTCACTGGGAAGTAGCTTATAAAGGTGAGCCTCTCGAATTATTTCTTAGTTAAACAGCCTGATGAAACTGTCTCACAGCATGAATATTATTTGCAAGAAAACATAACTTTCACTGATAGTGTTGCAATAGTGTAGGAGAACTGCTTTGCCTTACGCTATTGGAATGCAACAGTTTAATACTCAATACACGTTTTCTAATGTAACAGGTTTCACAGTTTTTTACGTCAGTATCTTGTGGAAAGAACGTGTTTTTCAATTTCTTTTGGCTTTCCTCATGATTAAGCTGAGAAAAAGGAAACTGCTCTAGTTTCCCGTTCCTTGCAGTGAATGTCTGGATGAACCGCTGATTGCTGATTCTAGTATGTGCACAGACTAGTGCAGGATATTTGGGGGTTTTAGCTTTTTAAAAATTGGTAGGGTTTTATATACTTAAAAATATTGAGGTTTTTTCAGTTTTTTCCCCCTCATTTTAGAGTACTTCAGGTAGTTTACTTAAACCAGGACCAAATTTGACTAGTCCCAGAAATAAATCCCAATTGATGTGAAAACTGAACATTAATCCAATAGGCATCACTGGCTGAACTTTTTCTATTGCAAAACAAGCAGCTCCCTGTGCTGAAAATGCAAAGTTATGTTGCTATACCTTTTTTTTTAACTAATTCGATGGAGGGATTAGTTGATTTTAAAAGTAATTCTGTGAACTCTTATATGTAGAATTGAATGTTTAAGTGCTGTACTGCTTTAGGTAATGGAAATTTTAAAACAAAGGTTTCGTTGTCTAGGTTTTGGGTTGTTTTTTTTTTAGCATCAGCACTGTGAATTCCAGTACATTTGGAAACTACTCTGAATAGGTTTTTTTTTCTCATACACAATTTTCAGTAATGTAAAGCCTGGAAGGAAAATTGTCCATTAGGTACAGATGCGGAATTATGAACAGAATTTTGCTGAACGATTGTGTCTTGAAAAATACTTCCTTTGACACATGAGAAGTAGTGGAACCTGTCTAGTGTTCTAATTACAATACTTGGCTACTGTTGCTCCATGCACAAAAATACTAATTTCCTTTTGTCATTTAAGTGAACAGCATTTACTGAATATTCAGAGGAAACTGCCCCTTCTTGTTGAGGCAGGAGCATTTTCATTAGTTCCTTAAAGTAAAGTAGCTAAAGATGTTTTTGGACAGCCAGGGAAAGTCCAGCATTTTCTCCTCATAGGGATTTCTGGTCTGGACAAACCCGTTTATACAGGTAGGTTTCTCCTGTGAAGCCCAAGAAAACCAAACACATTCTCCTTAAAAGGACCTTGCTTCGCTCTTTGGAGAGCTGACTGCACTGCCATCTGCTGGCACAGTGTTACAACCAGGGAGGCATAAATTACAGGAAAAATCATGATACCTGGTTTTATTGTAAGTTTTATTTAATTTGATGCATTTTTATAGATTTAAGCCTCCTCAATACCATATATTTTGTTTGCAAGCTTTCTATTTAACAAGAGGATACCTATATGAAATAAAGTACATAGTAGTACATAGTAGCATTCAGTAGCTTCTGAAAAACTGCTTAAAGCTTCAGAGAATCATAGAACATTTTTGGCTGGAAGAGACCTTCAAGATCATCGAGTCTGTCCTTTGTTCCAGCCCTATCAACACCAGTAACCAGCGTTCCTCAGTACAGCATCCACCCATCTCCTAAACACCAGGATTGGCGACTCAGCCACCTCCCTGGGCAAGCTGTTCCAGTGCAAGAAATTCTTCCTCAGATCCAACCTGAACCTCCCCTGGTGCAATTTAAGGGATTTCTCCTTGTCCTATCACTCACCACCAGGGAGAAGAGACCACCCCCCACCTGACTACAGCCTCCTGTCAGGTAGTTGTGGAGAGCCATAAGGTCTCCCCTCAGTCTCCTCTTCTACGGGCTAAACAGCCCCAGATCCCTCAGGCATTGCTTGTACTTCACTGACTTTTAGGGAGGCAGACTGAATTCCCAACATGTGTTTGAAAAGTGATTTAGGGTCCTCTAGCTTGGAAATTTTAATCCATTATTGGGAGATGTGGAAGGGAAGCCCTCAAAGAAGTGATAGCAGAACTGAGTTGAATTAAAAAAAAACCAGAAGATGTCATACTGAACAGTATTTGGAAGGACCATCATTTGAGAAGACTGCATAATATACTGCCTGCAAGAGCTGTTAAAATCAAGGTTTAAGCGCATAGTAGGAAAGTATGCTGCTGAAAACAAATAAAATAGGCTGATTTTCACAACTGCTATGTCTTGGTCTCCCATTCATCTCTGCAGCTTTGCATACCAGCAGATTTAATGGTGAATCGAGACACCGATTAGAAACAGTATTTTAAAAGTCACAAAAGGCCCTTGGCACTGCTTGCCCTGGTAGGTCCTCGGTGCGGGCTCGTGCTCCTCATGGTAGCCAGCGTGGCCGAGCTCAGCGTTGTCTGAAGGGACACGCGGCTGTTGGCAGGCAAACCCCACGGGACTCTGGAGAGCAGCACTTGCAGAGAAAGCACAACGTCACTGCTGCCGGGGCAGAATGACAGAATTACCCGGTACTGGGAAAACAGCAGCTTCTCTGTGAGTCACCCCTTCCCTCGCCGCCGTTTGCCTTCCCCAGGACTGTTGCTAATGGAAGCTAAAGCCAGAGGACAGTAGCCTTGCAGCAGGGTTGTGTGTGTGAAAGGAGAGACTTTACGGAGCCTTTCTAAAAGCTTTGCATACCCGCAGGCTGCTGATACCAATGCTTCTTGTTCTAGGCTCTTCAGAAGTGTTTTTACCCCCTGACCCTATCTTTGGTACGGCTATGTCTGAAAATGAAAACGTTCTTTGTGCCCAGCTTCAGTGTTTCCGTTTTCCTACCCTTCGGCACCATGGTTTACACAGCTGGTATGCTGAAAACTGCTATGAGAAATCTTCATTCCTCTGCAAAAGGAGTAAGTTGGGTTTAGTTCAGTGTTAACTGTGTTTAAATATGCATATAACAAATACAGAGAAATTGATTAGTTATCCTTTCCACTTTTTGCCCAGTGAATTTAAAAAAAAAAAAAAAAGAAAAAAGTGGGGAGGGTTAAATTTCTGCTTGATTTAAATAAATAAGAGCATTGTAATGTGTGCTTGTCAGCAGCGGTACAGGTTTTCACAAAAAAATGATTGTTAAGCAGCTGTATGAGCCCCAAAATAAAGTAAACTTGGGAAAAAAAAAGCGCCTTAGAGCAAATATCACTCTTGAATTATTAATTTCACATGAAAATTAGGAAGTGCTTATTTCTGGTTTATTTTTAATGTAGTAAATGCTACTAAATTGTTCCCAGCCCATTAATAGAACTAGGGGCACAAGGAAGCTTAAGCTTCTCAGACCACTTGCTTTCCTGTGATTGCAGAGCATGCCCGCAAGCCTGTCAGTTCCACTGAGCTTTGTCAATTTTGAGCACTGTTATCTTCCCCGCTCCTTGGGGAAGCCTTTTGAAAGTTGTTTTAATGTGAAGGCGTGGCTTTTAACTGGGGGTCTGCTTATGTTTATCACTTAATCACTTACTTTAACAGAGCAAACTGAGCTTCTGCCTGGCAGGCTCAGGAACGCTTGGATATTGATGTGCGTTTCTGTTCTAGGCCAGACTTGCGTTGATATCAAAGACAACATTGTCGATGAAGGCTACTATTTCACTCCAAAAGGGAATGATCCCTGTTTGAGCTGCACGTGTCACAACGGTGAGCCCGAGATGTGCGTGGCTGCTTTGTGTGAACGGCCCCAGGGGTGTCAGCAGTATCGCAAAGACCCCAAGGAGTGCTGCAAATTTACGTGCTTAGACCCAGGTAAGAGTTGGCTGCTACAGTTTTGTCAAGAAAAATAAGTTCGGTGCACAGCTTGATTATCTGTGGGTATAACTTTGAAGTGGTGCATATTTTTGGTGCCTTGACACTGCTGGCTGGAAACCTGCTGTGGGGAGAGATCTCCAAAGGTCAGTGAAAGAGTAGGGGAAAGCAGGAGTCTTCCTCCCACGCTTATAAGCGGACTAAGACGTTGTCTTCCCTTTTTTTAATCTTCAGGAGCAGTGTCATCACTCAGCAGACAGGATAAGATGACCTGGGATAACCTTGTGCCATGTTCTTTAATCCTTGCTTATTGCTGTGGGTCTTAACTATTTCATGAATACTGATTTGAAGAGTGAATTTTACCGCATCCTTTCTGATCCTTAAGCTCCTCTTTCTGTACTGGTGCTAAATAAGGCTGCTTCATTATACTCTTGCCTGAAGTGTTCTGATTTTTTTAGTAACTGAGTTTTTGAGAGAAGAATCATCAAGCAGTTGTCAAACTTCCTTCCTAATGAAGTTACTTCAGCTAGTGATAAACACTGAAATTCTTAAATGAAGTGTTCCAGTTTTTCTTCTGGGCGTTTATAAATGACTATTCCAGATGACAAAATTAATGAATTACTTTCTTTAATCAGCATGTATTTATCTTTGTCCGATTCTTACATATATCTTCCCTGAGCTCTGTTGCAAGGAAAGAAAACAGTTTACTAATCAACTGTAAGTAAATTAATCGCCCAAGGAGAGACGGATGGAAATAAATCCTGCTCTTGGGTTGGCAGGTAATCAGCTCTCGCGGTGTGAGTGGGTGAGCAGTGATTACAAGTGGATAACGAATATTACCCAAGGACTGGGTAGTAGGGGAATTTTTCAGTGGTAGGCGTGAGATGAGCAATCACAGCTATACTCTCTGGAAAGATGCTTCTCCTCATTTAGTTGAAAATAAATAGCAGAGGAAAATCTTTTGTGTACTAATGCTGAAACCAAGGTAGTCTGTCTCTTGCTGCTCCATGGATGTGGTAGAGAATAATTTTTCTGTGTGGCTGCTCTTTAGGTGGACTTGCAGCTCTTATTTGTGAAAAGGTAATAAACAAAATAAAATCCTTTGAAAGAGCTAATGGTGGGGAAACTTTGCCAGTAACTAAGCCCGTGCAGTTACAGGGTATCAGTACTGTATCGAGTGCAGGACCGCCTTTCTCAAGTGATCTCTTTGTCTTTTTGTGCGTTGGAAATCTGTGCGATGACTTGTTCTATATAAGCTGGGTCTTTTGTCTGTTTGGGATTTTTTTGGTTGTTTTCCGTTTTTACCTAGGACTTGACCATAGTGTATCCAGCCCGTCAGGTTGATCGAGGCCCAGGGGCGCTCCAGAAGGTCCACGGCTGCAGTTGTAGCTGACCTGAAGAGAATACGTGGAAGTCGGGCTTTCTGCCTGCACGATGGCATCATTGTCAGTCACTTTATTTAAGGCAGTTATTAGCACTAATTTATGATGTTCATGAAGTCGGCATCGCCGTAAAGCAGAGGAACAAGGGCAGGTCTGTGGTGCTCAGGAGGGTGCGTTGGTTGGTAGGTGTGTGACTGCAGCGCTTTGAGCTCTGACAGGGAGAGCTGCTGAAAGGTCTGACAGCACAGAGGCTTTTGTACGGCACAGCCAGGTTTGAGAGGGGGTAGTGTTCGAGCTCTGTGCACAGCGCACTGTTAAATGAATTTCTTGTTGCCAGGAGTGCATTACCTACTGAATGCCAGCCTGTTAGCCGCCTACTTGAACAATGTATAAATTAGGTGGATTTTTCTGTTACTAGCATCTGTAGCAAGTTGGTACTTAAAATTTTTGTGAGGCTTTTAGCTTTCTTTTGTAAGGAATCTGTAGTACAGCTTTAGCTGAAAGAAGAGCTGTGGGAAAGGAGAGGTGACCAGGATCTGGCTGGTTGCTCTAGAAGCGTGGTGGCCAGCTTGTACCTGGTTGTGTTTGTGTCCTGTGCATCTGCCGCCTACTCACACTTAACCTGGGTGCCCTTCTCATTCAGAGCCCTTCAGTGCAGCACGGTTGATTTTAGGGTATTGTTCCTTGTGTGCATGCTCCTTTAAGCATAAGAGTGTCATCAGTTGAACTGTGAAAAATTAATACATCTCGTGTCTGGCACTGGTGTAACAGTGATAATTTGCTTGCCAGAAGCCTTCCACGTGTGGATCTGATTAGCAGTGGTAGAGAGCTCTCAAGTCCTGACCTCCTGGTCTGTTTTGTGTTCTGCCGCTTGCTTTCTGTGCGATTCCAGGAGAAGATTTAATTCCTGTTCACCTAACTGTTGTGTTGTTTCACCTGTAAAGGTCATTTTAGTTCCTGTAACTTCACGGTGCTAACCAACGTACGAGCGACATATGGAAGTTAGTGATAATGGCAATATTTGGAGATTTTATTGTCGAAAAAGGTAAAAGTTAAGATGTTTAGAAGTCACATAGAAGTAGCGTGGTGTAGATATGCAGGTTTTCAGGCCTTTCCCATCACTTCCAGGCTTGCTGTCCTCTTTAGTGTAGCATCATCAACCATAACAAATGGATGCGAAAATGATATTAACCTTTCCTTTTTCCTGTTTTCAGAGACCTGAAGCCTTCAACATTTTGTCCCTTTTGCTGATTAAGATACTTTTAGAAACAATTAGATCTTCTTGCAATAAATAAATAAAGCAGTTAATGATTCATAATTTACTTGTTTTTGAAATATGGAGAAGCGTTAAACCAGGCTGTTGAATCTCCACTCTGCATTTATCTCTCTATTACTGATAGAAGAACATCAAGAAAAATGAGTCTTGAACAACAGTAAAAGTCATCCTTGATATGTTTTATATAACAGATGGCAACAGTTTGTTTGACTCAATGGCTGGCGGAATGCGTCTGATCGTCAGCTGCATTTCCTCCTTCCTCATCCTCTCTCTGCTGCTTTTCATGGTACACCGGCTACGCCAGAGGCGGAGAGAGCGCATAGAATCTTTGATTGGAGCAAATTGTGAGTAGTCTGTATCTGCAACAAGTCTTGATCTAACCAGTGTGTGTACTTCAGAAGAAACACAAATCTGTGGAAAACATCCTTGGAAATCCTGTCATAGATCCTAGTCGGTACTGTACCCAAATGTAGCTCTGCGCTGGCTGCCTGAACTGGCCATGATTTGTACAAGATTTGGTTCTGTGAACCCCTCCAAATTCAAAGAAAAAGCTTTTGTATCAACACTTGTGTCATGCTTGTTACTGACAGATCGATGTATGTAAAGGTGAGAAAAGTCTTGGCCTTGCCTCTGTGTGTGTGTCTTGGAGGTTCTTCAAACTTGAACTTTTTTAGCCAGTAATAGAAAAATATTTTGTTTGTATGCAGTCCACTTCTGAAAAATCTTCCATGTGTGAGTGTTCTCCTTAGTTTGAAGAGGTTAGATTCAAATTGAGATGTGATGCAGGACAAACAGACTGGGAGCAGGTGGGCCTGGGCCATTGTGTAACTGCAGTGAGTTAACTTGCATAGGTTATATAGACTTTTTTTAGGTCTTCAGGAGACATGAGTTCCTTGGGTGTGAAAAGTGGAAAAAGGTGTTGAGATCTGCCTTAAATTGAAGAAGAAAACATGGGATAAAGTCACCTGCTTCTTTTTCTTTTCTTGAAACAGTGCACCACTTTAACTTGGGCCGCAGGATGCCTGGCTTTGATTATGGTCCTGATGGTTTTGGAACTGGCCTTACTCCGCTGCATCTTTCAGATGATGGGGAAGGTGGGGCATTTCATTTCCATGATCCACCTCCGCCCTATACTGCTTACAAGTATCCAGATATTCAACATCCAGATGACCCACCTCCTCCGTATGAGGCTTCTGTCAATCCAGACAGCATCCTTTGTTCCACTCCAGGTATTCAGGCAATAACTTGGGTTTTTTTCTTCCTCTTTTTATTTTGGCTAGAGGGTAGATTTATTTTTTTTTTTTACCTATAGTCATGTGTTTTAGTGATGGTGATGGGAAAATATATTTCACAGTAAAATCTCCTATTTGTAGAATGGAAAAGTATTTTGTTAAAATATGTCATTAAGCTTGTTTTTTTCTCAAAGGCTCTTTGGATCACCTAAATTACAAATGGAATCCATGTTCCAAGCAGGTTAAGTCTTAGATCTTACTTATTTTCAGGCCTTACCTTGGATGGATTACCTGGTTTCTGCTTTGCTGGTACCTTTTCTGATCTTTTGGTCTATACCAGTCTATAGAGATTGGTATTAAAAAGTAGAACAAATGTCAAGTACAAGAGATTTTGAACAAAATATATCCAGCATCTTCTCTCCTCCCCACTTCTCCCACCCACACCCCCCAGGAGTTGACCAAAAATATCACTTTCTAATGATTCACACAGTGCTCTTCAGTTTTGCAGCTGTGATACTCTCATACTGTAGAAATCATTCCAATTTGGGATTTTATAGCAGCATATCTCACAAGATAAGGGAGCCTGATCAGTGCAAGTATCTTATTTATATATCAGAGTTTTATTTTTGCTACATAATTTTCCTCTTACGGTGTCATCTCTTTGTGCATTAATGCAAAACCAGGAAAAACTCAGAGCTTCCAGAAATACAGATAGTAAATCTGTTTGGGAATGTGAAATGATACACTGCACGTTCTGATTCTGCTTGTTTTTTGTTCTTTGCAGATGGAGTCCTTTCTCAGACTGTGCAAAGCAGTCCTCCATCACTGGGAAACTGTGATGTATCCCCACAGCTTACAGAGGGATCGCTTCCTCCCTCAGTTGGTCCTTCTCCAGTGGAGCTGGAAGACTCTGCTGACAGCAGCACCTTTCTTGTCCCTCCTGACACACCGCTAAACGAAAACACACCGGCAGAAACTCTTACGGGCAGCCGTCACAGCCACTGTTCTCTCAATACCATTGTATAAAGGAGTCAAAAGCTGATCACCGGTCAGAAAGAGTTTTAGCGACTGTTTGCACAGACAAACACTAATCCATGGTTTGAACTTCAGAAGGAATCTCCACTTTATTTTTTTTTTTTTTGAACACTGCTTTTATGTTCTAGGTTAGGATTGTGCCTCTCGTTTTTTGGCTGTTGTTATTCATTCACTAATCGGTTTGTCCTGTAAATATGGATTGTATAACTGCTCTTTTCCATTGGCTGTGGAAAGGAGTGCAGAGAATTCCTTTGACTTCTGAGGAGGTGAGAAGGAAGGATAGGTGGGTTTTTTTGGTTTGTGGTTTGTTTTTTTTTTCTTAACCTGAGAGGAAATGAAATCTACATCAGAAAAAAGCTGCTTGGATTTGGCTAGATACCACTGGACCCAGGGAACAGATGCTGGTAAAGAAGGGTGGGGGCACTCACCGTGCAGTCAATTGCTTTCTCTCTTGCTTCAGTGCTACACCTGGAAAAGGCAGAGAAGAATTGCAGGGGAAGGGGCTGGAGGCCTGTTTTACAGAGCAGGAACACTGAGGAGCTGAAACACGTTGCCGCTAAGAGTTACACAGTATAAAACATTTGTGTGTTTTGATCTGCTTTGCTGTTTCAGAACACCAACAGGGCTGGAGAAGGGATGATCTACACAATAGGTGACAAGTGAGCACTAAGAAGACTAGCATTTGCAGTTAAAATTATTTGTTGGTGGTAGCTGCAGAATCACATACTGTCGGGTAAACTTCTGGCCCATAGACAAATCTGGGCCTCTGTGATGCTTGTGTCCCTTCAGCAGGATCCTTATGTGTTAGGTAGCGCTTTGGGGAAGAGATGGGGAGCAATTAACTTGAATGCAGTCTGACTTCACTATATGAAACCCTTGTTTGTTATAATCCCTTAAGGAAGATTGAGGTGGTTTTCCTTGTAGTTTAACTCCTTTACAGTGAACAGTTGCACAAGACTGGCCTGGATAAAAGACCATTGTTCTTGCTTTTCTTATTGCATGCTATATTTAGCATGTATGTTCCCTCTCCTCCATTTCACTTCTTTTCAGTTTTCCAAATACTATTTAAAACCAGTGATTGACATGCACTATATGTGATGTTTAATTCTAATTGGACACTTGTTCCTTATCCAAGTTCCGTAATTCTATGGATTTCCCCGTGCCTCCCAAACCATTTGTCCAGGTCCCACGAGGAGTTACAATGTGGTAAGTGTACTCCAATCAAAAAAGCAGTTTGCTTCACTCTTGATACGTCACTCTAAATTTCCCCCTCGGATTGAGCTCTTTAATTTACACATGGCGAAAAGATGCATTCACTCCCTCGCAAAGCCCAAAGTCAAGCACTGTTGGTTTTGATAATGAGTGCAAAATAGTCTTTACAGGTGATTTTGAGTTTAGGTTTGGATTTACCTGTTCCCTCGTCCTCCTCTTGCCTCCATTTCTCCTTGACTTACTGTAGCAGTCGGCAGATGAGATGAATTATAAGTAATTTGTAAAGAATGTCCATTGTGAGTGTTCTCCTGTTACCTTATGAAGGGTACAAGCCTAGAGGGACGGGAGGAAAGCACTGCATGGGGGTGTGTATGTGATCTATTTTTCTAGTAACAATGAGAAATCATACTTGTGTGACAAATCCTAACCCACTGTTGTGGTTTCCCAGCGCAGCTGACTCTTTCCCCATTGAATATGCTGCTACTTTCTATTCTGTGTCTTGCCTATAGGCTGATACTGTACTTGGGGATTGGTCTTGACAATTCAACTCTTTTTGCACAGAAGACGGTGAGTTTTGTTATTGAGATCATATCTGGTGTCTCGACATTCAGACACTTGCTAACAATCTCGAATCCGTCGGAGGGCGTGAATCACGGTTGCGGGGTGCACTGCCGGCAGGCGAGCGGGAGGAAGCCCTGTGAGGGAGCCTCTGCCCGGAGCCGCGCCGCTGCCCACCCGCTGCTCTCCGGTTTGGCTGGCTCCAGCAGCAGTGGCACGAAGCGAGAGGAGCAGTTCTCCACCCCGTGGGATCTACCATCTCCTCCTCAAGTCCTGATCTAACAAAGTGGATGGATAGCAGTACTCGGAACCATGCGTACAAATCTATTGAGCATTTCTGAAGTATGAAAATAAAGCGGGTTTTGTGCATTTTTGAGCACATTCATACGTTTTATACATTGTATGTACTGATTTTTCTTTAGTTTTATAGGTACGAATATATGTGTGTGTGTGTGTGTGTGTGTGTTGCTGGGTGGTGAGAGACATATGTGTGTGTGTATATATACATACATATACATACTGTAGAGGGTAACCTTTGTGCTGTGTCCACCTAGGTGAAGCTAAGCACTGGGCTATAAACTAGGCTCTTAGAGTTAATACTTCTCTCGAGCTGGCTACACTCCGTTGTAGGACAGGCTGTGATAGCGTACGCTTGAGTAGGTTGTGAAGTCTATGCTACTACAATCTGTTCCTGAAAAATATTTTGTTAGCAGTGCAAAATAGAACTTCTAATCTCTTTTGAAGCCAGATGGAATATTTGTTCTTTCTAGGATCCTAGCGCAATAACAAAGGGCCTTTTGGCTTGGTGTAGTCTCTGAAGCTGTGTTTGTGGCTGAGGTGAACAGATACCTTACCTCACACTTCTAACACTGTGGGAATCTGTTCAAGATTTTTTTTATTTTACTTTTGGTTCTGTGGTGAATTTTATTTGAAAGCAAGCTCTGTTACAACTGTCAACTTCATGGTGGCTCCTGGTTGTAGCTATTCAGTTGGAGGCTTCTTTGTAGAAGCTTCAGTGTGATGTTTTCCCCATTGCTTCTTGAGCCTTTCCTGCTTGTATATTGGCACACAGGCTGCTGTTTTCTCTTTTCCCCGTCCTCCTTCATTGTAACTGTAAACAAGGGAAATTCTGCCTTGATCAGAGCAGCTCACTAAGTACAGCTCATTTACCTCTTGGTGAGCTTCTAATTTGGCAATAAAGTTGATTCTTTTTTTTTTTCCCCTTTTTAATGTGTTTTTTTCACAATGACTTTCTTTTGGAGTAAGAGCCTTTGTAGCAGAAAATGTCACAAGTACTCAGGCTTCTTCTGGACTGACTAAGGAAGGGTTGTTTTTGTTTTCCTGACAGCAGTTAACTCCTCAGCAAACCTTCCTTGCCCTTGGCAAGGTTGCTGGTAAGCAGTTTGTCCTGAGCACCAATTACAGAGGGTCCATGCTTGCCTGAGGAAGACCTTTCGATTTTGATTGCCATAAGATTGTTGAGATCTCTGGAGTAATTGTGCATGTTGATTTTTTTTTTTTTTTTTTTTTTTCCCTCTCCACCAACACCATTCACTTCACTGGATGTTTTTCTTAACTACTGATGCATCCTGGGTGTCCCTCCAGTCGTGGTGGGAGAGAGGGCGTTACCACATCGTTCCCAGCAGCCCGCCCGAGCAGAGAGTGCGTTTCTTTTGGGATGTCTTTGACCACAGTTGTTGTGAAGTCCCAGCGCTCGGTTCTGGGCAGGGCTCGCACCTCCCATGGCAGCCTCACAAGACCGCTCCTGGACTTGCTGTCACCACGACGCCCTGTGGTGCCGTACTGTGGTCTCTGTTGTTCCTTCAAGAACAGCCCTAGATACTCGCTTCAACCGATGGTAGTGGTGATACCTGTACACAGTCTCAGCAGCCTCCCGTTCTTTTTACTAGGTGAGTTGTAGAATATTTTAATGCTAGCAAGACGGTGGGTTTCATTCTGTGCTAGAAGGTGAAAACTTCCAAAGAAGTTTTGTGCTAGGAGATCAAAAACATGTTCAGAGAGCTTGTCTGTCGGGTTTTGTCTTGTTGAGTTCCGAGCCTCTTGACTATTCCTTTACCCATTCATGGCAGGAGGCTAGAAGAAGAATGAAGTAGGTGGAAAATTTTTTCTGAAGGCTTAATCTTAAGGTCGGCTGGTGCTCTCCCTCCACAGGTGTCATGAGATGTTGGTCTGTTCGTACATCTCTCAAGTTTTGCTTAGGCAGAAGATATTTTATGAGTAGTTATTACGGTTCTTTTCCAATCTAATGTTAAATGAATTTGAAGTTGGTTTGAAAGATTTTGGTTCTTTTATCTTTTAGATGCACTGGCCTTTTAATGTTGCCTCATACAATCCATAATGCCCGTCTCGCTCTCTCGCTCTCTTTTAATTGCTGAAATGTCTTTTTTCTCCCTAGCTAAGGAACATGTAATATGCAGGAATTTCTTGTAAATTTCCCTCACAAGGTGGGAGCTGGACCCCAAAATGAAAGCAGATGAGCATAGAGGAGGCAAATCAAATGGCATATGTTTGATGTTCCCCAGTTTCAAATGAAATAAGTGTTTCTAGAGGCTTTCAGTGGTGAAGATGTGCTTCCCCTAACAGCAGTCCACATTACCTGCCTGCTACAGTACGACATAGCTTTAATTTTCCAGTATTGTGCACCTTGAACGTTGAGTGGGTTGGAGTCGATGCCAGCAGGGATGCGGTGCTGGCGGTGCTGCGCTGCGCCCCGAGTGTCGGGCTGGAGAATGCCTGGGAGGCTGCGTGAGAGATTGAGACACTGCTTTTTACCTTCTGGAAAATAATCTTAGCCCACGCTGCATTTGCAGGCTTCTCCTGTGTAATTGGTTTGTGACTGGACTTAACTGTGGCAGTGTATACAAGATTTTGATATTCTGTGAAATACCATGTAGAATTTAAATTTGATACTACAATAATTCAGGCCCTGTGACACTGTTTTTTTGTTTTAACTTCTTTCTTTGGGGTTGGCACTAATCTTGTTTTTTTTTCTCAAGATGCTGTGAGAAACATTTCATCCAAATGCCAAATAAATTGTGTTCTGTAAGAGAAATGGTCTGCTCTGATCTCTCTTGATTACTGCATCGATGTGGTTCCTCAGCATTGCAAAGGCAAGTCTTGTTAAATCACGCCTCTGAGCTGTGATCTTGAAAAAAAGATCAATAGATGCATTTAACTTCAAGCAGGGAGGGAGCAAGAGT